ATTATTACTTATACTATTTTTACAATCTAAATGATCTAACAAATATTAAAGAGATCGAAATAAGCAAGAGTCAATATAACAATTTATTCAATATTATTTTCGATTCTATTAATATATTCATTAGTAATGTACAACGCAAATGTCCCTAAAATATATGCACTTCAGTTAAGTAAGTTTAAATAAAAGTTTTACTTAATAAGTTTCCATTAAGCTAACATTATATTATGAATGTAACCATGCTTCCTCCTACGCACTGGCAGGAGTGTCCCCTGTGGGATTCAAGAGAAATGGTCAGTTGGCCTATAGACTCTTACCCGGAGAGGAAGTATATTTCACGCACCCTGCCGCTAGCCGAGTATCAGGTTTTAGGCACAGAAGGGGAGTCCTTTCCCGAATCTATAATTCTATGTCTTTAAATGTGTTAAATATTGTATGGTTCTAATTGTATGTGCATATGTAAATAAAGCTGCGAGTTCTCTAACTTGTACCTCAAGTAACTCAACCCAACCGCATCCAGTTACGATCGGATTGCCCAATCTGCATACTACATAAATAAATTAATTCGATAACAAAGCCTTTTTGTAATAAGTATCTATATGAAAAAATTATAAATATCTATTTAAAATACTTAAATTTTCTAGCAGGAATGCACCAAAGCTATGAACTAAATTTAATAATATTTATTTAGAAATTTAGAAATCAGGAAATATGAGTAAATTAAAGTTTTGTAATATAAGTTCATTTATTTTTTAGCAAAATAAAATTGTTGGCTAATTACATTTATAGTTATCCATATTAATAATTATAATATACATTATATTAATCTTAGTTAATTACATTATATTTATTTTTTACATTGAAAGTAAAGATAATTAGTTTTATAATAATTACGGGCATGCTATTAACTTATAACTAGAAAAGTCGATATCTCATTGTTATTAAAGTACTTCATTAAAAACTTATATATTTTTCTATTTTCATAAAATTTTGTTCCTTTCAAAATATGTCAGTGATTTAAGGATTATTTTTTTAATATTTCATATGAATTTTTTTTTTATCCAGAGATTGTTAACCTACTAATAATATAGTTTTGAAAACAGCCATTCAAAACGACCTTGTATTTCAAAAAATAAGAATAATAAATAAATAAAAAATACGAGCCAACAAATAAAAGAAAACAAAAAAAAAAGTTCTCCAGATGTTGAACTCAAAAAGGTCATAGAACAATTCGCGGAATATTTCGACATTTCTTCAAAGTATTTATACAATTCTTATCAACAATTCGATAAAAAAAAATTTAATGTTCTCAAAATTTATTATGTATTTTTATATCCTTTTTCTAATGTGAAAGAAGCAAAACGTTCATAAAAACAACCCGATAAATATAACCTTACACAACAACAGCAGCAGCAGCAAGTAAAGGGTTTATTCCTTCTCAGCGTAGTAATTTCCCGCCTTTATTTTATTGTTGTCGTCAAATGGAACAGTGCTACCAGTTGAAAGTTTAATGGCCCCGTAAAAACGTTAGAAAAGGCAACCACGGCACAATCGATTTAATCAATGGAGCCATTTATTACACGGAGCAATTAATAATTATCTCACTTCATCAAACCTGTTCTACGAATGCGATGCTCGCTGTAATGGTTTCAATTTCCTTGCTTCGATTAGAATGTGGTTAACAGTGCATTGAAATGATTGATCATAAGGAAGAAATACTACAATATAGCTCTGGATTGTAATAGTGGTAGATTTTCAAAAATACTTTTTCCCATTATAATTTAAAATATAATAATAATATGAATTTTAATAATTTCAACGATGAAATATGAACATTTTATTGTTACATTAAGAAATTATTTCATGCATTGGTATATAGCAGAGGGGATCAACCCAAATGATCACTTTGGAATGCATCATAACTCCGCGGGCAGCATATAAAATTATATATCCCCATGTTAGATTTAGACCCAATATATATTTCGGAAGTGAAAATTGAAACATAATGAATTACTTTTTTTGTGTTTACTGTTATTCTTATGTAAATACAGATAATATAATAATAATGATGCTAAACGCACATAATAAAGAAGTATATAACACTAAAATTGAAATATAATAAATATATAAATATAAGCGAAATAAAAAAAAATTAAGTCATTAAAAAATATTAATTTTACTAGTGCGATATTTGTTTCTCCCCTTTTTCACTTAGTTTTTGCAAATCGATCTCAATTTGGATATTTGCACATCGTAATGGGTGTTGCAGGTTAGCGTCCGTTATATTTGAGTGTGTTTGGTCAATTTTATTTTCGCAAAAAACTATTCCTAAGTGTAAGTTGAACCAAAAAAGACTAACAATTTCAACTGAGAGTCTGATTTGCTCTGCTATCAACAATCAACTGTGTGTAGCTCGGGATGGTCATTGCGTCAATTAGGTCACTTAAAGTGAAACTTAGAACCTGTTATATTAGATGTTCCAAGACGCATGCACATCATGAGTTCGCATAATATAAATTAATTATCCTGCGAACTCATAACTGTAAACTCATCAATAAAACAGGCAATATCTGCCGTATATTTGCAAGAATATTATTTTAAAATCAAAGCCAAATTTTTTCTTATAATTTCAACAGTTAATTTTTGAATATATGGATCCACGCGTAATGTATTTTTTTAATACACTGGTTTTCACTACTTTGGCCATTATAAAATAAATATATTTTGTAAGAGTGTGATACATCTCACGGGCCAGAAAAATATTCAAGGCGGACAGCGGGTTGACCATCCCTGGTTTATCGTATGAAATACTTTTCAGCATTAATTAATCTTAGTCTGTTTACGCATTTTGTATACTATTCACATTAAATAGAAATACTTATTATTTTCCCTTACCTTTCTCTTGTCTTATCTATTTTGATTTGGTTTTTGCATTTCAATATCACATTGAATCTCTAAAAAATATAATTTGAATTTTTAGTTTGTTATTTTTAAATACTTCGTATCGTTTCCATTCCATTTTAACATGTTTGTTTATTCCTAAAAATTATAAATTAAAGTTTTCTGGTTGCCACATTCTTATAAAGTAATTTTTTCTTAATATTTCCTAACTAAAAAAATCGTTTGCAAAAATATATATTATATTTACTGAAATATATTTTAGAAAACGATTTTCATCTTAAATATTAACTTAACCTAATTAGTGAAACTTAGATAAAAAAATAGAGAGTTTTTGCATACCGTATTTCGGACGTCCGTTAGCTTTTTCTCCCTAGCGCGCATGCTCATAGGAAACATTATTACAGATACGCATGCGCAATTTCCTATGAGCATGCGCGCTAGGGTGAAAAAGCTAACTGACGTCCGAAATACGGTATGCAAAAACTCTCTATTGAGTGATGCAAAATGTGTTTAATTTTTTTGCTTACAAACGCGAACATGACAGTAGACTTCCAAATTATGCAAATGAAAACAAGGTCTGGGCAATGGATAAAAACCAGAATTTCCAATATTTCAAAAAACAGGCATTTTTTCATTTCTTAAGATTCTAAGTCATCCTTTGATTACGAATGTATGTCTCAGATCTTTAGTTAATAGAGAGTTTTTGCATACCGTATTTTGAACGTCCGTTAGCTTTTTCTCCCTAACGCGCATGCTCATAGGAAATTGCGCATGCGTATCTGTAATAATGTTTCCTATGAGCATGCGCGCTAGGGAGAAAAAGCTAACGGACGTTCAAAATACGGTATGCAAAAACTCTCTAATAACTAATGTTTTACACTAAAAGCACCTCCTTGTACGTTTAGTTTAGTAAACAAAAAGATTAGAATTGTGTTCGAAATTAATTCTATGATTATAAAACGAAAAAAATTCTAAAAATGTTTACGTTTTTATCAAATGATATTTTTTATCTGTGATTTTTTTAAAATCTATTTTATAAGTAAAACCATTGTTTTACTATTTAACCGTAACCTTAAATTAATCGTATACCAAGCAATGATACGATTCCCTTGAGGCTTTTTGCAACAAAAAAGAATAGCAGAAGATTGATAAAAGTAAACAAACGGATAGAAATTCCTCTGTAATAATGCGATCTCGTTTTCGTACAGGCATGAGGGAAGACACTTAATGAAGGTAATCAAATTTGCTATCGTGGTAAAAACTGGAAGACCATCGTCAAACCTGACGCGAATGAACGATGCATTTCCACATGTAGTGAATGAAAATTGGATTCCAATCTTACAATTTAGTCCAGACGGAAATTTCTGAAAGGACATCAACTCTTACAGTTGATCATTTAGATACGACTCATTAGCTAAAGTGTCTTCTGAAAAAAAAAAAGCGAATCTGTAGTAGGAATTTTTTTTTTTTTTTTTTTTTTTTTTTTACTTCTCGGAAGTATCATTTATATATAAAAATAAAAAAAGTTTAAATTGACAAAATTATTTTGTAATGAAATTTGCTACAAATAAGTTAATAAAATCGGATTCTTGGTTTTATAAATTGTTAAAAGGAATTTATTGGATGGTAAATTTTGATTTCTTGAAGATTGATATAAAGATATTTTTTTTTGGATTAAGTTTCAATACTTCTTATTATTTTATTTTAAATAAGAAGTAAAAAATTTTTATATATTTTAATAATAATTTTAACTTTAGGTTTTATTCATATAAAAGAATATTAACAAACAAACTTCTGTTTGTTGTTTCTTATCCCACTTGGCTGGCCAAGCCCACGAGCCCATATGTACTCATGATTGAAGGGGAAGGAAGCAGCATCTGTTGTGATGGAGCACCCGTAGGTAGAAGTCTGACTTTGGCTCCGTGACGCTCTTACAGTCATAGGAGACCGGGACCTACGGCTTAAAGTGGATTCCGAACTACTACAAACATCCATGGCACCGCCGGGATTCGAACCCGAAACCTGTGGCACCGAGCGCCAGAGCGCTAGTCACTCGGCCATTCAGGTCCCAAAATTTGTGAATGCCAACGGCACGTGGTGTTCCCAAGTACTGGCCGCGCCCAATGATGCTTGGCTTAGGTGATCTAACGAGAACCGGTATATTCAGCATGGTATGGCCGTTGGCTCAACAACTTCTGGAGTTTCAAATAGAATTATATTACTTCCTTTCCTAATGTTAATAGTATAAAACATATTTGAAAATTGATTGTAATTTAACAGTTCATAAACGGCAATTTTAAATATTTTTAAAAATGCTATTACGGTATGAAATATTCTAACTAAATACTTAGTCTAACTTACTAAATATTTTTTCTTTAAATAATTATAGAAAAACTAATAATAAAATTTTATTAAATAATTTTTCTAAATGATTTTTTATTATATTTTTTGATAAATAATTTTTCTTTAAGGATACTAAGAAAACGAACATCGACTAGCACATTGATTTTCGTTTGATTATTAAATTAAATTAAATAAAATTTTAACTTTTTAACAATGTGTCACATTAGTTAATCAGAAAAAAAAAAAGCTTGAAAATTATACGTACGGTGCACTTAATAATTTAGAACTGAACTTAAAATTTTTAAACCTGTTTTTATCGGAACTGAATTTTGAATAAATTCCAATTTGCGTCATTAAAAAACGTGCGTCAAAACCTATTAAAGTTTTTTTTTTTTTTAAATATAGACGTAATTTTTTAACCAAATTCATTAAATTTTCCACTAAATCACTAAATTTTCCATCATTTGCAATTTCCACTAAATCAAATCAGTAACATCGTTGTATTTATTACAATTTTATGATCGATAAATTAGTAACTTATTCTTTAAATATTTTGTTGTATTGTTCTAATACATATGTTTTTCAATATGGTAAAAAAAATGAACTGTAAAATATAGTCAGAATAGAAAACAAGAAATTTTAACATTCTAAGTATCATCGTTTTGTAACTGAACATGAAAGTCTTAAATTATATCAGTCTTTTGGTTCTGAACGATTCAAAAATCGAAAGGTGAATTTTTCCAAGAGGTTCAATGCCACTCCATTCTGATGGAAAAACACTCCATGAATCCATCATAAAAGAATTATCATAATAAAAGAATATCGATATGGTCCTCTCCATTCTGTTATTTCGTTGATGATAGCTCGAGGCCTTCAGAAGCTCCAACATCTGCTGCATAGCTGTCTCAGAAGGTTCCAAGCTAATTGAAACAAATGCATCTGGAAGTCTAATTAAATTTCATGAATTATTTATAATTTTGCTTTCCTGGTGATAAAATGCGTGGGTCTTTTTTTTTTCAGACCGAATTCTCCAAGGACGTTGCACTTGGTTAGCGTCATTATTTTACTAGAATACGTGCTATCGTATCCAGTCGGCATCTCCGCAAAGTAATTCTGTTTTGTGAAAAGAATACATCTTTATTGGTCAGATATTTTTTATTACGGAGGATTGGTTTTGTCTTTAGAAAATAGGAATTATATCTTGAACAATTCAATGACTATTTATTCTTCCAATTGAAGAACTTGAGTATTAAATTCGTTTTGCCACAGTTCTTTGTTCAGAATTTTGTTTTAGTTCCTTATACAATTATTAAAGCAAAAATAATTGCAAATAATTTGATTAAGCAGCTTAATCATTATAAATAATATCATGGAATTTTTAAGTATTGTTCTTTATATTCTTAAATGTTTTCGTATCGATGAATTTTTTATTTATTATTTTTTTTAAAAGAAGAATATGATTTAGTTATGCATTGTTTTGCATTATTATTATTATTAAAAAAATAATAACTAAATATGCACAAGTAAATTGAGGAAATATTTCATAAAGTATGTTAATAGGGTATAAGTATATGTTATAAATATGTTAATTTAAAATATATAAAAAACTTGATTTTGTATTAATGATAACTAAATTCTACTTCAGAAATGAAATAAAGCAAACATTTAATTCTTCATTCAGTATGAAAAACTGATATAAACAAAATTACAAAATAAAGTATATTGTCAGGCCTATCATTATGTGTTTTTAAAAATAATATATATTTGTTATATTTTTAACTAAACAATTTTAAAAAAATATATTATTTTTTTTGTTTTACATATTAAAATACTATAAGTATTATTCTAGGATTTTATAAAACCCATGGATTTTCTTCTTTTTTAAATAAAAAGATCTGTTTCTCCTCAGAAAGCTGCAAAAAAACATTTACAGGCATCTTTCAGAAAGAAAAAGTTGATTCTTTTACAGATTATATTAGTTTCACCTGAATTTTAATCAAAATCAATCAATAAAAAAAAAATCTAAAAATAAGAAATAAAATGTATATTAAAAAAATTCTTTCAAACTCATTCATTTGCAGTTTTCAAGTTCATTCAAAACTGTCCAATTTTATTTGTATTTTAAATAAACTTTTGTAAACCATACAACACTTAATTTTAAGAATTTATTAACCATAATGTACAAATCATTATAACAGAATGATAAAATTTTTTTATCAATCGCTATATAAACATGAGTATTATATCTTCATAAAATGTTCTAATATATCATTTTAAACATTAAGAATTTTTTCAAACCATTATTTAGTTTTACCATTCAAAACGTCCAATTTTATTTGTATTTTAAATAAACTTTTGTAAGCGCGCATGCTTTTAGAATTTATTAAACTGAGCATGCGCGTTAGGAAAAAAAAGCTATATAAACATGACGTATTCCTATCTTCGGTAAATAACTAATATATCATTTTTCACATAGACCGATAAAAAAACTTTAAACCAGCATAAGAGAAAAGAAAGACACGTGCTAAGTTCTGATGAAAATTAAACATGTCGTTTTTATAAATAAATACTAAAGAAAAATAAAATAATAATAAATAGAATCTAAGAGTAACAATGATAACAAAAAAAAATCCTTTCTCTAAAGAAAGATAACATGTAAAGTCATTGAGTTAAATAAAAAAGAAATACGTGTTGCGGCTGGGTTCAAAGGATTTAAGCTCTCCTTTTTTTTATTCGTCTTTCTGGGAGGTCCTTATTTTCATCACAAAAAATACGAGGATTTTGTCTGTCGTTCTTTCAAAAGGTTTTAACTTTTTTTTAGGCTTTGACAACTTAAGATTCGGGTAAAATATTTGCTTCGTGTAACTCGAAAATTGCAACATCGATTTCGTAAAGCAACATACTAAAGAATAATTTGAATAAACTTAAAATTAAAGTGAAATATTAAAAATTTTGGGATTTTCTATACGAAATAAATGAAATTACAGTAGGTTCGATACTGAAATGAAAATTTTCATATTAAATAGTAAATTATTAATAGAATCTTGCTCATTTGTTATAACTCGAAAGCACAGAAACCAAGATAAAAATTCCTCCGTACTTTCTTTTATTAATTTATAACGCAATTTGCAATTTTTTTTTTATCAAAGCATTTCTACTAATTATAAAATGAAGTCTTTTAATCTGACCAATGGGAAAAAATTAAACTTTTTAAACACTGAAAAATAAATACACATTTTAGAATATAATGAAAAAAAAAATGGACTGTTTTTGCGAATTGTCTAATTATTAATTATTATCTAATTATCTTATTAGATAAAATGAGGTAAAAATTTACCAGACACTTGCATTAGCATTTTAATATAGGTTGAATTTGTTTTGAGTTCCTGTTATAGGACTCAAATTTCGTTTTATGAATACGTAAAAGTACTAATTTTTTATTTTATAAAATTTGAGAATATATTCAATTGTTGGTTTATAAATCAGAAACTAAAATATTAATGGTTTATTAATAGATTGAGAGTATTTTGAGAAAAATATGTTAATTTCTGAACTAGTGGGACTTTTAAATAATTTTAATTATTTATAAAAATTTAAAACATAATTTATTTATCATTTTCTCTATAATTGAGGTATTGTTTTTTATCACCTTCTATTACTAATTATAAGAAATTTACAAATGTTGTGCGTTTATTAAGATAAATAAAAATCCTCATTGAATAAAAGTTTATCAAATTATGAGATCCAAAATAAAATCAAATAAATAAGAAGATATTATTAAAAAAGAGAAAGCAATTTCCCATAATATTCTCAGAATTTTTTACTTGGTAATTTGTACAACCAATAAAAATACATCTCTTTAGTTAGCAATTTAAAATAAATTTCCTCTAATCGACGTAAATGGAAATTTGACCACAAAAATTCATCTCAATTTCGCAATTTTCGAAGAAAAGCACAACATCATTTCGAAGAACTATCAACTCTCTCTTAAAAAAAAAACTGTATAAAGAAGTGTAAAAAAAAATAATAATAAATAAATAAAGAGGACAATAAGTTGGAAATATACGTTTTCTACGAGAATCGGCGATGGCGAATTCCAATGTTCTAAAAAAAGGAATTCCAATTTCCATCCACAAGAATTCATTGTCATGCCCAGCGATGATGCGGAAGCCTACATCAACTCGAGTTCTTTGTTCTTGCCTGTACACACGAATTACGAAGTCGACCCTCAAGCAACAATAAAGTCTGCCAAAATTATATTCATTTCGCTTCGGACGGGTTGCCATTGTGGGAGAATTTCCATCGCATGGAACAAGACACTAACGGATTTCCTTTTTTTCTGCTGGCAACGGAACGAACTGCGAACCTGACTTCTTCTTCTTCAGAAAAAAAAAAAAAATAAATAAAGAATAAATAAGCAATAAAAAAGAAAAAAAAATTCCATGACGAACGCCTTTTCAAATAAGACAGTTATTTCAACTGGTTTCCGCCCACAGTTTTTCGAATAAACGAGTTCTTACAACCCTATTTTAACTTCAAGCGATTTTTTATTTATTTTATTATTATTCGTTCGGGTTCGCTTTTTGATGTTATGAAAATAACCGTGTCGAATATTGCCACCGAATTTTGAGTATGTTTGTATAATTAAGCGAAAAATAAAATTTTTATTACTGGAAATTTGATTGAAGAATGGTTCAAATCAAATTGAAAAAAAGAAAAGTGTTTTTTTTTTGGAGATAGTCAATTATTATTTCCATAGAAGTCATACTGGAAGGAAAGTTTTCGGTAAAATATGGCAAAAAAATAAATATAGGAATTTTATGTAATTTAAGTTAAGA